CTGAGATCTTGCAGGAGTTCTGCATGACCAAAATGGTTTTTATGATTACACTGAGACATCGCTTGCCTTGTGTGTTGCACTGATGGTGCAAAAGCTGTGGTGTAGAAAACTACGGATGGCTGAGCACAAAATGGGCAGCGGCATGAAACTATGTCAGCAGTCAGTTTCATTTTTATCCATCAGAACATTAAAAGGAATCAAGTGTTGACTTCATTTAAGAAACAGCATTAGGTTGGGTGCGGTGGCTCACACCTGTAAACCCAGCACTTTGGGAGGCCGAGGTGGGTGGATCACAAGGTCGGGAGTTTGAGACCAGCCTGACTCATATGCTGAAACCCCATCTCTACTAAAAAAACCAAAAATTAGCCAGGCATAGTGGCCAATTTAGTAGTATCCCAGCTACTCAGGAGGCCGAGGCTGAAGAATCCTTTGAATCCGGGAGATGGAGGTTGCAGTGAGCTGAGATCGTGCCACTGCACTCCAGCCTGGGCAACAGAGTGAGACTCCCTCTCAAAAAAATAAAATAGAATAAATAGCAGTTAAATAAATTAAACAGCAGTAAAAAAATTAACTTTTGTTTATAGCATTGACCCTTTAGTATACATCTTTTTAAACATTCCTTGTGATAGATGGGAAATATGATACTTAGCTTCTGGAAGTCAAGTATGATGGTTATTTTAGGAAACAGCACTTGTGTGATACAGTTGTGGGCTGATTTAGTTTTTTCATCGAAAATAATTTTTAATTGAAAGAATAACAAGAAATCTTCAGTTATTCAGATGTGGATATTTAGCAGATTTTTTTTTAAACAGAATAAACTGATCTTGCCACTTCAAGGAAAACAACAGATACTATTTGTTGCCAATAAATTTGAGCTTTCAAGTGATAGAATTTTGGAAACCATGTAAGCTCTCTTGTGATCTTGAAGCTTCCTAGTAGCTGCATGTTTCTCTTATGGTATCAGTGTGGACGGTCTAAGTGTGGATTTTTGGTATGATGTATTTAGCTATGTCAACATTTGGAAGAACTGAAAACCTAAAATATCCAGCAATTTCCAAATGATACCATGTGTGATGTGACATCACACATAGGTAAAAGATCCTTTGAAAGTGGGACATAAACTCATGGATATTAATGTGCCAGAGTACAGAACATTCACTGATAAGCTTTCAGATTCTACATTACAATTTTCATATTGATGCTTTTAAGAAACTACTACTTGTCAAATTTTGGTATAATATCACATGAGGACAACCACAATTATCTGAAAAGGCTATTCTAATATTCTTCTTTTCCACATATGTCTCTGTGTGAGGCTGAATTTTTTCATATACTTCATCCAATGCAACATATTTCAATTGCATGTATGCAGAAGCACATAGAAGTATTCAGAGAACCCAGCTATCCTCCATAAATTCAGACATTAAAGACATTTTTCAAATATCTTTACGGCAATACCATGATAGATGGGAAATGCATCTATGGCATTGCCTATTTTCCACTTTAAAAAAATGAGAAAAGATAGTAACTCTTATTAATAAATATGTTAACAGGCTATGGGTTTATTATTATTATTACTTTAAAAATGAATCAAGGAATAACTAAGTTGTTTCAAATTTAAGTTTGAATATGCTTAAGATTTATAGATATAACCTACATAACCAAAAGCTCCTTAGGGTTCTCTAAAATTCTTTAAAGTGTAAAGGGGTCCTAGGACCAAAAATTCCAGAACGATTATTATAGATTAGAGAGGTGAACTAACCTCATGAGCTTCATGAGTTTTTTTTTTTAATAAACATTTGAACCCAATGTTGTCATTTTGGTGTAGAATATCTTGTTGACTTAGTTCCTTCATTTCCCATGAGTGAATTCCCAAATATGTGCATGGTACCGATTGGTTGGCCCAAATGATTGGGACAGATGTCAAAATCCTTTCATTTTATTGTGTAAGCATGATTTAATTTGAAAATAAAAGGGATTTCATACCTAACACTTAATACAAATGTTCACTACGTCATCTGCAAGTAAATATTTATATCAGTCCAAAAAGGCACCTCAGCTCAGCCATAAGCTGACTGGTTCCAGAAGGTGACAGTTGTCTTACCCTATCAATATCTTAGGTGGAATAAAGACTTAGCTGGTGTTTACATACATATAACAAAGGCAGGCAGTTGTTGAAGGTCCTCTCTTAAAAAAAATAACTTAAATGTGTTTAAAATGTGTATATTCATTTTGTTTTACTCTTCCAGTATGTTTTATGATTCCCTGGAAGGCACATTATATATTAATAAATGGCTGCTATTCACTTGATTTTTTTTTTCACCTTAATCTTTCCAAATGGCAAAAATCTGTTTATGTGTGAACTTTAAAAGTTTGAGTATGATGCTTCAATGCTAACTGAGTTTTTCCCTGGAGAAATAATTTCTAATTAAAATTTTTTAGAAACCTTGGCCTCTTGACCTAAACTTTTAATGGTATTTTCCCATATTGTTATATGCCAACTACACACATAGACCAACTGTACTCAAAATTGTAAATCTTCCTCCCTAAAAAGATATCAGAGGTCTTCAGAAGAGTATTGACCTAGCAGTAATATGCAGTTTATAAATATGGTGTATAGCTATTTAAAGAATCCATTTAAATATAGACTGTTACTTCCCAAATAGTGAGAAAAAAAACTTTTTTGTTTTCTTCTCTGTAACATTCCAGGGCACCTCAGCATGTAACTTTATGTATGTAAGAAATGTGCTATGACTTACAGGTTGAGAAAACAATTGCCATTCTTGAACAGACATTTTTTTTTCATTTGTTTAAGCAATTATTTACCAAATGTCATCTAAATCCCACTAATTTGCAAGGTACCAGCATAAAGTGTCAACCACACAGACATGTCTATTAAGTAATATTGTTTTTGTTTCATGAAAATCTGATCCTGAATGTGTCTGGGATCTGATACTCTTGAGTCCATCCTTTGTATTAAGTGCTATTTGCCACTGCAAATACAGAAGAGCTCATGAATTGCTTCAGCATTTATTGTTAGTTCTTATTAATAGGTATGAGGAAGCACTCTTTCAAGTTTTTGGTGCCCGATGGTCTTCACAATAAAATTGTGATGTAGACCTTTCATCATCTCTGTTTTTCATACTGATATATGATTTATAACAATGGACACAGGGGCTTGTTGGGGGTGGGGGGCTAGGGGAGGGACAGCTGGGGTGGGGGCATAGGGGAGGGATAGCATTAGGAGAAATATCTAATGTAGATGATGGGGTAATGGATGCAGCAAACCACCATGGCATGTGTATACGTAAGAAACCACCATGGCATGTGTATACCTAAGTAACAAACCTGCACGTTCTGCACATGTACCCCAGAACTTAAAGTATAATAATAATAAAAACAATGTACTCAAGGACAACCCTTCTAAGAAACGTAATATTGTAATATACTAGTTTATTAGTTCCATGATTGTAGACATAATTCTTTTTTGAAATTACCTATATAAATAAAAAATAAATTTGTTTTTCTAAAAAAATCACTCTTGAGGTCTATTTTCTTTAAAATAGTATATACAATAGAAACTTCAAACTAATACTCCAGAAAAATTCAGTAATGCCTCTAAATTGCTAAGCACAAAACTGAGAAACAATGCCAGTTTGTCATGCCATTAGAAGCAATTTTATCAGCCAGTACATTTGCAGAAAGTTCCTGGCACCATTTGCTAAATGACTTGGTTATTCTCATTCATATGGATATATTACTGGGAACAGCATTGATAAACCATAAGCGATGTAAAAATACAGATGTAGAGATGTGAATCTGTAATGCTTTTAGGAAAGATGATGAGTCCTACTGAACCTGAAATGAATGGTGATTATTGTTTAGATCTGAGCTGCCAATAAGGTAGCCATGAGCCTCAGGCAACTACAAGCTCGTAAGACGTGGGTGACATTAAAGACATTTTTCAAGATTGAAAGCAATGCTCTTTTAAAAAAAATTAAAAATATGGCAATTTTTATTAATAAATGTCATAACAGGCTATGGGTTTATTATTATTTTAAATGAATCAGTGAATCATGATTTAAATTGTTCTCAAATTTATCTTTGAATATGCTAAATTAATTGAGATGTAACCAGATTTCAAAGATGTGGTGTGAATAGAAGAAAACATATTTCATTAAAAATTTTTATATTAATTGCACATTGAAATAACTTTTTTGAATACATTAGTTCAAATAATAGAGTTAATTTAGTTGGTTTTAGTTTTTTTTAATGTGGTTACTAGACCATTTAAAATGATTTGTATGTGTCTTACTATATTTCTATTGGACAGTACTGGTGTAGACAACTGGTTAATGAAATGTGTAGATTTTTAAAAATTCACATTCTCTTATAAAAGAATTGTGGGGCCTGGTGCGGTGGCTCAAGCCTGTAATCCCAGCACTTTGGGAGGCCGAGACAGGTGGATCACGAGGTCAAGAGATCGAGACCATCCTGGTCAACAAGGTGAAACCCTGTCTCTACTAAAAATACAAAAAATTAGCTGGGCATGGTGGCACGTGCCTGTAATTCCAGCTACTCAGGAGGCTGAGGCAGGAGAATTGCCTGAACCCAGGAGGCGGAGGTTGTGGTGAGCCGAGATCGCGCCATTGCACTCCAGCCTGGGTAACAAGAGCGAAACTCCGTCTCAAAAAAAAAAAAAAAAAAAAAAAAGGGAACATGTCAATAACACATCTGGCATTGAGTTTTTAAAACTTTTTTTTTTAATTTGCCAACTACCTTCTTTAATCGATTTACTATGACTCATTTCCAAATTCATTGGCAATGGCGTAACCATATACTGGAAGAAACTGAGTTTTCCAACATCGGTTTTAATTGACTCTATTTTGCCATTCAGAATGATCATGTTTTTGATGCATTAGTCATCTACCCTTGAATGAATCTTGCTTGAAAATATCAAGAAAATTTAAAGCATTTTAACAACTTGGGAGCACATTGCATATATACTCTGCAGAATGTATATGACACCTTTTAAAAATAGTACCCTTTTTCCAAAAAAAAAAAAGTCTGTTATGCAAAATGTTGGCCTGGTGCTGTGGCTCATGCCTGTAATCTCAGCACTTTCGAGACTGAGGCAGGCAGATTACTTGAGGTCAGGAGTTCAAGACCAGTCCGGCCAAAAATGGTAAAACCCTGTCTCTACCAAAAATACAAACATTGGCTGGGTGTGGCGGTGGCAGTGCCTGTAATCCCAGCTACTCAGGAGAGTGGAGGCTGAGGCACGACAATAGCTTGAACCTGGGGGGGCGGAGGTTGCAGTGAGCCAAGATAGCACCATTGTACTCCAGCCTGGGTGACAGAGGGAGACTCCATCTCAAAAAAATAGAAAAAAAGTTAACCAAAGACAGCATTTCTCAGACTTGAAACATCATTTTGTCTCTGAACTGGTAACAAATGTCAGACTTGGAGTTAGGGTTTTCCTCTCTGACATCTCTCCCCAGCTCAATCTTAAGCTCAGGACCATTTTATTGTGTTAAGACTGAAGGCATTAATTATCTAAATCAGGATAGGAAAACATTAAATGGCTGAGACCTAAATTCCAGTAATATCTTTGCTGATGACAGGGAGAGTGTGAAAGATACAGAATCAGTCATACAATAGCGGAATATGGCATATCTCTCCCTCAGTGTGAGCTGGACATGACAAGTTCTCAGATTTCCCTCAATCTCCATTTTGTTGTCTTTCCTGGTTGTTTCTGGGCCCCCACAAAAGACCTTTGCGGTCCAGGTGTAAAGGGATCCATGTTTTTGCTTGTTTCCTTCCTACCTTTTTGATGATCTTCTGTCTCCCTTTAAGTCCGTATCTCAACCTAGACCTCTGTGCAAAGCCATGGTGACTTCAGAGCTTTTGACGTGCTGCATCTGATACTTCCTGTTCTAACAACACTCAGCCCGTGTTCTTCTCCAGTCTTGTCCCTTAACAAAACCTCCTCTGACCTGAGCATAGTTCTGAAAAGTGACTCCAGAGACTGATAAAATCATTTGTGTGACAATGATATTAAATGCAGATGGCATTGTGTATTATGTCTCCAGTGAACTATGATATATACAACATATACTGCTTTAATCATGCAATAAATGCATGGCTCAATATTCAGTTATGAAATATTTGCTATGAAGCTGACATTTTAGAAGTCCTTTAATTAAATAATTGGCATAATTCCACCCTGCTCTGATTCTTTCTTTGTAAAATTTATATAGCTATCATTTTACCCTCAGGCATTTTTTGGACTCTCTGTCACCCTTTGGATTATAAAGGCAGTTTCAAGAGAGAAGCCTTGGTTAATCGTGATGGGGTCTTCTGTTATATAAATGATGTTGATATATAAATATAACATGTATATATGTAAATACATATGTGTGTATGTGTATGTGTGTGAGTGCATGTTATATATCTAAACAGAAACAAGTTCCCAAGTTCACACAGACTGGCTTATACTCAAGTGTTCTGATTTTAGATCCTAAGTTTTGTGGAATTGCATTTTTTAGACAGCCCTAAGAATAGACAAAAAAAAAAAAAGGTAAAATAATTGAATAAAGTTGGTAGTTTTAGTCAGTTTGTTACATAATTGAAAAGTTGACAGATGTTTACTGAATTTGTACATTAGATTTGGATGATTTTCCCTAGAATACAGGCCATATGTCAAACAGAAACTTAAGAAAGGGAGCTGTAAGAAGAGAGACGTGGTCGTACTCCAGAAAAGCCAATGTAGAGGAACGGTAGTTGCCAAGCTGGACGGTGTGGCGGGGAGGGTTGAACTGTATGCTGTGTTCAGAATTTGCTTTGGGGAGTCCCAAATAGAGAGTAGGGGCTTAAAAAGGCAGGCAACCCTCCCCTCCCTCAGCTAAAGTGGCCCTCGGGAGCTGGAGTAGGGATTTCTATCATTGCTAACGTTACTGAAGCCTGGATCCCTAGTTCCTTGGCTCTCACATAAGTAATAGAAATGAACTCTAGGCCAAACAAATATTGTCAGGCAAAATTGAATTGGCTTAAGTCTCAACCACAGCAAGGGAGCATTGGCCCAGTGCTAGCTGCTAGCTCCCCAAAGGGCTCAGCTCTTCTTATTTTAAGGAAGCTGGGACATGAAAAGGAGCCCCTGGAGGCAGACGGAGGCCGGGAATTTTCAGCACTTGCACTATAGGATAACACGCTTCTTCAAGCATCATATGTCTCCCTAGCATGTTAAATCTTCACCCCTGGGTGTGTTTTTAGTATTTTAATGAGATTATAATGAGGAAAAACTCAGGGTAGGTCGGTGCTGAGTCCACCTCCTCTTTAGCTTGCTGTGTCTGGTCCCGTTCTTACCAGGAATGCTGGTCTCACTTCAACAAACTTGGAAGAGGGCCAGATTCTTATGGGGAGTGCTGGGGTTCCATTTCAGCAATCTTGAGGGACATCACTCAAGGAAGTAAAGGGTTAGGCTCTTCCTTTTATGGTGAGGAATTTAGCTTGCTTAGCTAAGTTAGGAGGGGGTCGACTTGCTAAGAGAGGCAAAAGTAAGGAGTTTGCTTGGACATATTAGGTATATTAGGATCCTGAGCACTGCGTCTCCTGTCTGCTGTCTCATCCCTATGCTCTTTCACCAAGATGCCAAGAACAAAAAGCCAAGGCTCGTAGGACATGTGAACACATGGACAAGTGGCACCCACACCAGGCCCGCTGAAAGAGCACCATGGAAAATGCTGAGGACAGATGGTACTGCCCATGTACACAGGGATACAGTAGGACCGAAAGCCAAACTCAGGGGAAATTTTCTTCATCCTTGGGCCTGGGGCATTTAAAGTGTGAAGAGGGAAGCACGACACCCCCCAGGACCTTAACTCCTCACCCATGTTACCAGCTAAGCTTTGCTGCATGATGAGCACAGGATTGGCAGGGAGGCACTTGGGGCTGGAGTCCAAGCCCGGCCATTTCAGCTGGGCATGTGGCAAACTCGTGAGAGGAGTTGTCACATCGGTATTCACAGTTGGGAAAGCACCAGCTTTAATTCTAGCATTACCTTAGGATCGGTCTGAATTTATTGTCTTAAACCCAGAGCCATACATGTTCGTGGGGCCTGAAGGAGGCCAACCCTGTCTCTGGGGTAGACACATTAACCTCGACCCCTCACAGTTTACTCATCTATTAGCTCCATGTTGATAGTCAATATGAAACTTATCCAATTGTCCACAGAACTGATAGTTAGATTTTTTAAAAGAAACATAGACATTGACACTCCTAGTCTTAAAACTTGAGAAACTTACATTTGTCTTGTCTGAGTTTCTTTCTCAGGAAAACAACCATCAGGCCCACCGCTGATTTCAAGGAACTGAAATTCTCCAGATCGCTGCATCGTCATGACTGCCAAATGAACCACCTGTTGTCTGCCGACCAACTACTTGTCCTTACCCCTCCCTAATTGCTGTTTTTCCACAGGTAGTTACATTTCTTCTTCGATATATAAATATCAAATTTTGGTTAATTGAGGAGACAGATTTGAGAGTGATCTGTTCTCCTAGGCTGTAGCACCTAACTACAGGCTTCTTTCCTGGCAATCAGTGTTCATTGTCTCAGTGACTGGCTTTCTGTGTCTCAAGCAACGGACCTACAGCAAAACCCTGGTGTCTGGGTAACAAAAATATTCTTGGGCAGGAAGGTGCTGATTTGCAATTAAGCCGTTTCTCATATGGCAACTCTGTATGGTATTTTCCACCCTGTTTAGAAGCTGGGTTTTGTTTAACAGTGGAAAATAAGTATTGATCAAAATTTGCCCTGTAAATGGACTTTCAAATGAGTAGACTACTGGTCCTTTTTGAAATTGTATTAAGTCTCTTACATAATGCCTTATTCCAAGTTTCTATGATTTAAGATTATGTTTCCAGTTTCAGTGGTTAAACACAACTTAGTAATGTATTCTCTACTGTCTATACAAACTACTTCATACTGAAGTTGACTGTAACATACCATTGGTATGCTTATATATTTGTTAAACAGTTCAGAATAAAAGCCAGGTATTTGAATATCTGCCCCAAATATAAAGGTAGTATTCTGAGCTGAAGCATCTAATTTTTAACTGCAAATATTATAGTTATCCTTAAATAAAAGATAACATCTTTAAAAAATCAACAAAATATGTTAATTTTAAACAGTAAAGAACTTTAAAAAGTTTAATAAAATGATTTTTTAAGAATTTATTTACTATTTATTATTTTTAAGATTCATATTCTGTGTTTGAACTCAACAACTTTGGGACTGGGTTAAGATATATAGTTAAATTCAGCTAAAGCAATGTTGTCCAATATTTAGGGTTCATATAAATTATTACCCTATAGTTTGTTATCTGCAAATGTTTCTTCAGTTATTGAGGACTTTCATTTAAAATAATTTAGAAAAAATTTAAAATTTAAAAAGTGCATATTTTATATTATATAGTATCACAATTATGAACTTAGAGTTATAATATTAAATTAAAAATTAAGATAATGTTTTCTGTGCATGAAAATGTAAAGTTTTGGAAATTTATTTGGATATTTTCATATAATTTACTAAAAATCAATAATAAATAAAAACGAATGTTTCTAACTTAATGCAACTTACAAAATGTGGAATATTTGATCATAAGCACCCTCACAGTCAACTGCTCTCAGGATAGCTAAATCGAACCTATCTCAAAAGTGAAGGTTGGTTAATCTGGCAACATACTTTTGAACTTGGAAGATAAGGTAGTTGAAAAATAAATGGTTTAACTTTTCACTGTCCCAGTCCATAGCTGAGGTATTTCCATGGCTGTATGGGGATGTCATGTTTGAAAATGTTAAGTTGAAGCAAGGTCTTGTGTTAGCACAGTGTATTTGAGGATTTATCTTCTACTAAGTACAGACATTTACATATTTGAAAATGTTGAGCTACGTGCACATAGCTTGTTTAAATTTGTGAATCACCTCTGCAATAAAGTAGGTATAAAGACCTACAGTGTGATCTAATGTTAGAATGAGTCATAATGGAATTATATCATCAAAGCAAAGAGCAAAAAGACACACAGTGATGTGGAGAGAAATAATGACATGTTACTGAAGAGTTAGACTTTGAACTTTAAAATAGATACCTGCCAGATATCATTCTAGGGCAAAGCCACCTATGAGAGAGTCATTTTTCTTCAAAAGAAGCTCGTTGTGGAGGCTAAATATAATCACTATTGTGTGATTTATGGACAGCTCTCAAGCAATGTGGATATTTTTATTCCTCTCTCTGAGTCTGAATATTCACTGTTGTTACCTATTTGGATAAAATATCATTTTGAAGTTTGACCTCTTTAAAAATTCTCTAGGTCTACTGATACTGTTAATTTTAATTTGGGACTCTGCATTTTGTCACATGAAGCTCTAAAAAACAACTATATGCTTACTGGTCAGTTTTCTCATATTACCTCAAAAAGAGAGAAGCTTTTATTGAAATCCTCTATACACAAAGACAGCCTCAATTAAAATTACCTCTGTTTAAAGACAAATTTTCTTGGTTAATAGTGTTTATAGTGTTTAGTATGATCTAGCATGTGGTTTTTGTTTAACAAGAATATTTAAATAATAAGTTAATTCAGTACCAAACAATATATGGACTTGGGGACAAAATAATAAGAAAAAATATAGAATGTGTAATACCTAAAAAGAATCTTTTTATGTGTCAAAAATGTGTATTCAGAAAATTGTTTTTACATTATTTGAAATGACTACCAAGTAGACAGAAATAACAGGATTAAGAAAATATCTATTTGTGACCCTGTATTAAAAAACAAACCATTTAGTGAAAATAGATACACAGTTTATAATAAATCTGAAAACACCCACATGGTAAAAACTTGATTTTCTTATCACATTTACACCCTTTCAAATACATAGATCTATTTCAGTAAGCTTATCAGAGGAATGTTGACAATAAAGATATTCTACCTTAAATACAACACAAGATATACAAAAAGATGGATAAATGCATGAAACATCATGGATAGTAAAGGACATTTGAAAATGAAACATTATGGACAGTAAGAAATATTTGAAAAAAGAGACATTTATGAGAGAAATTTTACTGCTAAATATTAAAACACAATTATCCTCTAGTAATTACTATTTTTATTAGTGTTGATCAGACAAAAGAACATAAGACATTGTGTGGCAAAGTTGAGCCCCAAAACTATCTTTAAGAATTTGATACATGATAACATTGTATTACAAATCAAGAGAAAGCACTGGTGCAGGAACTCAACTGAAAAATATATTTTAATTAGTTTTTGCCTCCTAAATTTTTAGTAAATATTTTTAAAATGCATGTTTTATATTATATACTATCACAGTTACAAACTTAGAATTACAAAATTAAATGAAAAATCCAGATAATATTTTCTATGCATAATCATGTAAAATTTTGGAAATGTATTTTAAAATTGTCATATAATTTACTAAAAACCCATAACTAATAAAAATGAATGTTTCTAACTTAATGCAACTTGCAAAATGTGAAATTTATTATAAGTGTCCTCATTATTCTCTCCCAAAATTCCAGGTGGATTCCACACAAACCTCATGAGGAGATAAATGAAAGGAGGAGAATGAGGAACTAGGAAAATAAAAGAGGGAAAGGATGAAGAAGGGGAGGTAGTTAGGGACAAATTTATGACTACAGTTATGGATTTAGCTAGGCTTAGAGGCTAAAAGCAAAGATTACAAAAGAAGATATTTTAGATCTGAGGGCACAAAATATAAGTATTTTTGATCATTAAAAAGGTCACAATCAAGGCAGATAGTAAGAAACAGGCACACACCTACAAACACATGCCCAGGCCTGAGTGTTCACACACACCCAATGACAATAAAAATGGGCAAAGACATTAACAGATTTGCCTAAAGAGGGAATGTACATGGCTAATAAAACATAAGAAAATCCAATCCGTTGATAATCAAATAAGTTACAATGGTAAGATACTTAAAGGTTGAATTTTTCTTTTTGTACGTTTTTGAAGATTAAAATTATTTAAGGTGAAGTAATAGGATGACATGGGAACTTTGACTATGTTGTTTAAAATATAAATTAGCAAAATCTTTCTGATAATTATCTTAAAAAATATGCATCAAGGACCTTAAAAATGTCCATGGCCTTTGATTCAGTAGTTCTGTTTTTAGAAATCCATTCTGAAACATGAAATCATGATCAAACATATTTAGAACTTACCTTCAACATAAATATTAAAAAATCAAGAACAGGTTTAATAGGTGGTTATTTAGTTGCTAAATAGTGTTACCTTTTCTAAAATATGTTTCCAATTAGATTCAAATGAATGACCCAAAGGAAGACTTTCAATATAACCTTGTGTGAAAAAAAGCAGGAGAGAATTGTGTACATTGCAAAGTTTAATCTCAAAATGAAATAAATGATAGGCAGGAAATATACTAAAATATTGAGATTATTTTTCTCTGAGGTATGGATTTTTACAGGATTGTTTTTTAAATGTGTGCTTTCTATATTTTATTTCCATTTCTACATTTCTATTATTTTCATGTATTTCCTTAATAATCATGAAAAATCATAACTCTTCCAAAAACTATTAAGAGCTTATAACGTAAGATCTGGGCACAGGGCACAGAGCACAGGGCACAGGGCACTCGGCACTCCGTTGCTGTGGCACAGACATTCTTTCCCTCAGTTAGAAAAAGTCTTCTCTAAGGAGGCAGAGCTTTTTCTTTTTAACATTCATCGTTAACACCCACCTTATATCAACTTGAAAAGATATGTGTAGATTATAATGCTAAGTGTTTAGGAAAACTGAACCTAGGATTTCAAGTAAAGTATTAAATAAAATTTCTACTCTTGAATGACAAATGAAAGCATTAGCTAAATGCCACAGGCCAGAAACTCATGCTTTTTAATGAAAAGAGAGGGAGGTAAAGATGAAGACTTCATAAATTATCTTTCAAACAGCTAAATATAGGGAGATACTTGTTTCAGTAAAATATTATTTAACTTCCACAGCATCGGTCACTCTTCATGAATTGACATGCACCTTCTACCCAGTCGGACTATTTCACTTCTTCCTTTATGATAATAATTTGTTAACTCTTTGGCCCCAGATTAAGGGAGGTAAACCCAGTTGAGGCCCACTCACTCCAGTGTCAGTTTCTCCTTGAATTTCCTGGCACAGGAAGCCGACTTTGACTTAGTTTAGAGAGGCTTCGTTAGCTGCAAGTCAAGAGTCGCCCCTCAGCAGGGCTTTCTGACAATTTCATTGCCAACCCACTTTGGTTTGCAAACAGAAGTGTGGGTGCCCTGTCGACAAAATAGTGGCAAAACAAGATATTTGCCCTGCATAACGAGAAGAACATTTCCTAGACTCACCATGCCCTTTGGGAAATCAACTTTTCCCTTTGTTACTCATTGATTGACTGATC